CTCAGAGCGTCGACCCAGCCCCGTCCCACCCATCTCCGCACCGCCCAGTGGTGGAGCAATAGGTGGAGAAGCCAACCCTCAAATCAGTAGTGAGATAGAGCACCTCATGAGTCAGGGATACTCTTACCAGGACATCCAGAAAGCACTGATGATTGCACAGAACAATATCGAAATGGCCAAGAATATCCTACGTGAGTTTGTCTCCATTCCCTCCACTGCTCATATTCAGACATAGCACACTCCCTGTGCCTGTCTCTCGTGTTTGCTCTCTCGCCCTAGCTTGGCCTGGTTGGGTTTAGGTTGGCACAGCCCAAAGCCCATCGCCTGCAGCACTACCTCTGGTGCTGGCTGATGCCCCTTGTGGATTTTAACTGGCTGTCAATTCAGCGAGCTCACGGCATCTCTGGGACTCAGCGTCCTGCACTCCATGCGCTTTCAACAGTGTCTGGCCTTCTTAAAAACTGTTACAGCAGGCCTCCTCTTTTTCAAGAACATCTCCGTGGAACCGGCCGAGCACATGTGGAACAATGACAGGACGCCACATGACACCACAAGACTTTTCGTAAGAAATCTTGGGAAGACGGATTTTTCTCTTTCATGTCGAAGCATTTTGTTGAAAATTTAACCAACACCTCACAAATTAAACTAAAAATGTATATCTATATAAAAATTTAATATATGAATAAATATATATTAAATGTGTATAATATATACAGTACGTGCATATACAGTATGCGAAAATGATTTCAGCTTTGAGGGTCGCTGTTGGTACAAGTGATATGGGTGGACAGGGACCAGATTAAAGGGGGGTGTGGCCCTCTGTCGGACTAAGGGATGTGAGAGTGTGGAGAAGTGAGGAAGAGTCGGGGAGTCTTCCTCACTGGGACGTGTTGGTCAGCAGCAGCTTAGAAGACATGCAGCAGAGCTTTTTCCATGATGAATTCAGTCTGTTATGGCCTTTGATTAACAACAATGTTGCTTTGGTACTTTTTCTGTTTTTTAGAAAGACATCCTTGTTTTTGTCGTGTTGTGTTTTTCCAAGTAGCATGACGATGGTTTCAGGTCAGGGCTGTTGTCTGGCAGCGTGTGTGTCTATGTGTGAGTGTGCGTCTGTGTATGTGAGCATGCATGACGACTGTGTGCCTGCCAGACCTGCTCCTGTGACCTGCTCTTAAACGAACCCTGTTCCTGTACATCATGAATGTGGAATTAGAGTCTGTGTATTCAGACTCACGCTCTGTAAATGTACTACTGCTCTAACTCATGTCAGGGCCTAGTGTAGCTTAGAGCCTGACAATGAGATTATTAGAGGACGTACTAATGTTGACAACCCTGCAGTACCAGACAGGCTAGTGCTGCGTGATCCGTGGCGGCTGAAATTTGTTTTCGTTTTGTCTTTGTCTAACTTCACTGGCTGGCTGGTTCAGGTTTCTGTCTCCAGCTCAGGCCAGTGATTTTGAAACAAAAAAAACTGTTATTGATTTACTTTGGTAATATATTATTGTAATATGATCATCAATATTGTTATTATAATTAATTCAGAAGTGCTTCACTGCTGCTACTATTGTTAGTGCTAAACAATTAAGCCTTAAATGTACATTTGTGAATATTGTGTTTAACCGTGTTTCTTTAAAGTGACAGTATCACCTGTGTTCCTCCAGTCCGTAATGTAGCATACTTGAAAGTACAAACGGCTTGTGAGCTTGCAGCCCTCTCAAGCTGTCGACTCCCTTTTCTTCTTTTTTTCCTGAGGTAGACTCTGTTATAGCAACAGTAATAAAGCAAACAAAATGCGTTGGGTATGGAAAGCAGCCATTTTCTAATAGATTCAGGCTTCTCCTCCACATTAGTTTCCTTTCGCACCTCTGATCTGAAAGAGTGAGGCCATTTAAAAAATTTTTTTTTTTAAAAAGTAGGCTCATGGGTTTGCTGGCCCACCCCCAAGTCTACACTGAAATCAGTATTTGGGCCGACTGTAAGAATGAACTCAGGAATAAAGTTTATCTGAACATGTGGCGTTCACCCTGGCTGTCAAAAAAAAAAAAAAAAGAAGATCCATTGGCTGAGACAGAAGCTCACCTGTCAGGTGACATGTTGCCAAAAGCATCCGCTCAGTGAAGTCACACAAGTAGCCTATTACTTTTATTTTCTCACATTATAACTTGCACATTTTTTGTTATTACGCATATTGTTTCTGATATTGACAGAACTAGAGACAGCAGCTTTATTTCCAGGTACTATGAATGAATAAGGAAATGACACAGAGCTTTTAGGTACATACAGACCTCTCCCAGCATATGAAGAATGTTGTTTTATTTTTTTACAGGAGGGTATAGAAGACACATCAATAGCTAATCAGCCCTAGTTTACCCTGGGTTTTACTGTGTGTTGACTGGAAGCTATCTCCACGCTGTCTGACCATCCTCTAGTTCTTCTTATTTCTGTTCCTAGTTGCCTTGAGAAACGTCTTGAATGATGGGTAATGAACGGGGAGGTCCCCGAACCTCAATACTGTACCAATGTTTTGTTGATGTTTTTGAGGACAACGTTGTCCTGTATTATTTACCGTTTTGTTTTTTCGCACAGCATACCAATTTGTGCTTTGATACTGTCACTCTAAAGAAAAAAAAAAGAAAAGCAAATTGTATAAAGTCAGTGATATGAATAGAAAAAAGTTGCTGTTTTATTTCATTTTGCATTCCTGTACATGTATTTTGTTCCAAAGGATTTGTTTACTTCTGTGAATAATTCTGTGAGCAGTGCCATACGTTCAGAGATCTTCACCATGTGTAGAGTCAGGCCTTTTTCTTTAGGAGAGTTTGTAGGTATTGGTTTGTACCCGTTGATCTCTGAAGATTGTGCAGTATTGCTTGTATTAATGTGTCCTCTCTGAATCGTCAGTCGCATCAGGCTTCATCTGAGAAAGCTGACATGCTGATCTGTGAATAGCTTTGTTTCCCTCTCACCTTAAAGATGAATTGTGTCCCAGATCAGTTCTTGGCCTCAGTGATGCTCGACCCCCCCCCCAGTCCCTCTGCTGGGGTACTTCAGCTTTCTGCCAGGAGAGGGAGATGTTGTTCCGTGTTGCTTCTCATCAGTAAAAGGCATTCATTAACTTTTTGATGGTTTTTAAAGCTCATATCACTTTGGAAGTATGCACAGTGCTGTTAATAAAACAATAAGCAAAAGCCATCACACGTCTCTCCTCTGTAAGATGTTTAGCTTGTACATTTTTGTAATTATTATTATTACTCTGACAATTGTCCAAATGCAGGAAAATGGTTTAAAACCATTTATTAACCTTTTCGCAGTAAAACTGAAAAGATTTACTATTCATGATGATTCAGTATTTCACTTGACTTATGGGCTCAATGGGTTAATAACATAAAAATAAAAGCATTAAAGTATTTTAAGGCAAATACTGTCATGTTAAGTTTGGATTGCAATACCATTATTGCACAGATCCAATACACAGCTCATATTATGAGGATGGAAAGTTATGATGGCTGACTCGGAGGGCTCAATGCAACAGAACCAACATTGTTAGTTTTTCCTACATTGAAAAGAGTCGAGTGAAGTCGAGGAGGAGGAGAAATCAGAAACTGTTCAGGACTCAAAAGGACTGCAAACAGAATGATGGTCCAGATTTGATGAAACTTTTGTGTTATGTGACAGTGTGTTTTATACTATAATACATATATAAAGAATACAACGGGAAAGTACTTGGACAGACCTGCAGGCAGGTTCAGTTCTTCAGTTCTCTGCTGATGGTCTTGTCTGTCTGAAAATTGCATTTTAAAGACAAAATCTGATTTGGCTTCCCGGCTGGTAGATCTAATCAGCCTCATATCTGAGAGCTGGTTTAATAACCAGATTTAATAAACCTGTATTCTGTACACCAACACACTGCTAAAGGTACGACATCTATTTCCGCAGAAGAGAAACAACAATATGACAGCATCCTGTTACTTACAGGAACAATTTATTTGCGGGTTGGTATTTTCCAAATGTTTCCTATAAAAGTTCTTATTAAATATAGCATAAATATGTATAGGTTCAAATCTATCTCTTTTCAAAATAAATATTTAATTTAAACCCAAATAAATATTCATATTTCACATTTAACATTTAACATTTTTTGCATGCTTGTCTGTAGACACATTTTTAGTTGAGCTAGCCTGTGGTGCATTGACCAAAATTCTATATTAAGCAAACTATCACTGAAGTGAACAAATTCAACAGGGTTGTTCCTCAACCTGTATCCATCCATTCATCCATTCATCTTTTCTTCCATCCATTCTTCCATCCATCCATTCATCCATTCTTCCATCCATTCAACCACTCTTCCATCCATTCAACTATTCTTCCATCCATTCAATCTTCCATCCATCCATTAATTCATTCCTCCATCCATCCATTCATCTTTTCATCCATCAACCCATTAATCCATTCTTCCATCCATCCATTCTTCCATCTATCCATCCATTAATCCCTTCTTCCATTCTTCCATCCATCCATTGATCAATCCAACAATCCATTCATCCATTCTTCCATCCATCCATCCATTCATCCATCTAGTATTATTGCCGTATTACTTTTAAAGGTTGTGGGAGGGCTAGAGCTAATCCCAACTGACATTAGGTGAGGGATGAGGTACAGCCTGGCCACGTCACAGGTTTATCACAGGGCCGACATTCAAAGACATTCTAATTAATCTAAGCTGCATGTCTTTGGAAGCCAGAGAACCCAACGCACACAGACATGGGGAGAACATGCAAACTCCACACTGAAAGATCCTGTTGAACAAGGATTCGAACCAAGGCCCTTGACGTACTAGCAACTGCACCCTAGATTCTTCCCATAGTTAGAATCTAATTAGTTCTGACTGAGGAAACTTCCTTGGAAAACTATGAAGAAACCTGGGACAGAAATAAAAAATTAAAACATACAAAAAAAGTAAAATAGAATTTAAACTCAAAAAGACACTTTCTCAGTCCTTCTTTTCAATTAACAGTCAATCTTTATTTGGTATAATTCTCAAAAACTACAAACAGTGGCTTTGTTGGTAAATTGGTTTGAATGCCATCTATGACATTAATTTAAACTCTTAGGCATTAAAAGGCATTTTAACAGATTTCATACATCCACAACAATTTAACAGTGGTAGATCCTAAAAAAACAAAAACAGCAGGAACAGAAAACAGACCAACAGAGAAGAGGAGGGGAGAGTTAGACGGCTGCACGGAGCAGCTTGATTGGTTGCTGTCGTCCAACTTCATTTGCAAATCTGGAGTCACAGTCGTTTCCCCCTCCTCAGTAGTCTTACATGTTATAATGTCACAACATGAAAATACATTTACACAGAGCGCGTGTTGATTTAAAGCATCGCATGTCTGAGGGGGGATCCGTCTGCTTCTCTCTGATCCAACAGATTATTTCATGTTTCAGCCAACACATGAATTCATTCATTCAGTAAACAGAAATGTGTCTTTTTCTGATAATGACGTCGACTTCATGCCGTGAACAATTTTTATCATTGACCAATAATCCTCATCCTTCCTCCTAAAAAAAGAAATAAACACTAAAGTAATAATTTTCATTCACATTAAACAAGACGAGGGTTTCACATTAGAGAAACACAACACAACTGCATGGAGGATAAAATCAAAAAAATCAGTGCACCGAACATTAAATATGACTGTAACTAAATAGAAAATGTGACTGAATTCAAAAACACACATAAAATACAAAACTAGATTGTGAAGGAAAGAAACGATAATGTTAATCCTTGAAAGTCAAATCCTGAACAGATTATTCACCCGTCTTTAAAAATATTTTCTTTAGTACACAGAAAGTGTGAGGTGTAAGCTGTGGATGGAGAAAAATCAGATGGGAACGATATGGGATTAAATTTCCTTAAAGTTTGATTTCAGAGCTAAAAGGCAACATTATTGAGAAAGGCTGGAAATCGCTTATTGAGGGAAACATCCCATAAAATTCAGTGTGCAGACTTGAGCAGAACAGAAAACATAATAAAAGAAAACACAAACAGGAGGACTACAACTACCTAAACTCTCCCTGCACCAGAACAACATAAAACACTATCTGGTCATTTATTTTTGGTTGTTGTTTTTTTTTTTCTATTGTTATTTTAAATAAAGAAATATATACAGAGATTATAATATATACACTTGTGATTGCTTTGCCTGAGGTGATGCTCAGTCACATATAAAAACAGTCCCTGGTCAACTTTGTGCTCTAAATGTTTGTTCTACAGACGATCAGCATTTTATACGACTCGCGCAACCGAGAGCTACGGTCTAAGGTCGGTCTTTTCGTTTAAGGCAGAAGATTTATTTGCAGGATTGTGTCGTTAAAGCTTGAGATGCGTTCCAGGAGAAATGTGTGTGGATGTGACGAAACAGGAAGCAGAAGTTGCAGCTCAGATCAACTGTCGTCCATGTGGATATTGACTGATGGACGACTGAGCTGTTTCCATGATATAACTCTAAGATAAGGAGTTCTGGCGGAAGCTTGAAGGCATCAGCAGGTACGAGCCTGAGAGGGAAGAACAGGAGCAGCAGCTGAAGTCACCTCCTCACTTCTGCACGTCCAGGTGCTCACCACCTTTTACTGCAGAGACAAAGACATAGGAGGGGTGGAGGGGGTTCCATTTAATATGGTTATGGTGTATTCGGCAACAACTTCATCTTTGGCCTAAGCTCGTTCACTTTAACGTACCTGGTCACTGGGAGGTAGCTTTTCTCCGTTGACCCCAAGGAGAATGGCTTCCTCTGTGTTGTCACTTTTCATCTCCACCACGATGTTTTCTTTGTTGGACTTCTCATTGGTGCTGCAAGAACAGGAATATGGTTTAAAAAAAAATCTGGAAACACATGATGCATTATCTCAATGGCCTGTAAATGTGGTAATGAGAAGATATGAGGTGGCTCTGAAGAAAAATAGGAAAAACATGAGATAAGCAGTGTCAGATTAAAAACTGACTTCCTTTTCTAAAACACATCTTTATATAAAACACAGAGTTTTTCTTGCACTCACAGGTCTTGCTTTCCTGATCGGCCACAGATTTTGCCCTTTTTGTAGAGGTAGTAGAGCACACTCCCCAAGATGGCCAGCAGCAGGATGCAGATAATGATGACTGCGATGATCACACCACTGCCCTCTGGTGGAGAAGGAACACAAGCACAACCACAGGGTCACTGACTGTAACAGGAATGAGATGACGGACTGAGGCTGGAGAGTCGGATACAGAAGGATCACACGCTTGGCAGATGATGCAGCATTCCACAGTGTGTCGCAGCAGGAGATGGCATTTCACAGAGTGTGTAAAAAGAGTGCAGCGCAGAGCATCATTCAGGTGACCTAAACCTGGCAACCTAAAGAAAGGAAGGTGCAGGAGGAGTGTAGGAGGAGAGGTGTGTGCTCCTATAACAGCATGACAACATGCACAGGAGGAAGTGAAGATGAACAACTCAATGATGGTTGAATGTTTTGTTCATCGGAAGAGAGAGAGGAGGGAGGGTCTGATGAGAGAAGGGTGCTGTGGAGGAGAAGAAGATGGAAGCTTTTTTGCCTTGGACATCGAGAGGTGCGGGAGAATCTGCAGCAGCAGATCATACAAACCTTTCTTGATTTTCTTTGGTGGGATAGCTGTTGCTGCTTTAACTGAGAAAAAACCACAAGAGCACAGTTATCGGAAGGTGACTGGATGTGTTAGTGAGCACACATACACTCCTGTGATTCTAAGTCAAGGACACTTATTCAGGATATTACATTCCCTAGCCACTTACAATTAAATATGCAATCCTAAATCAGGAGGACTTGAACCTGCGTTGCCTGTGGCAGAGACAATGACTCCACCACTGACCTATTAATCCATGTACAGCTACCCCACACATAGTACCCCACAATCACATTACCAAGGGGGCATTCTGGGTTAGGGGGCCTGTGCAGAGAAGCACATGAGTGACTCTGTGCTGCTAACCTAACCCCCAGAACCTAAACCTAACCCAACCCTTACACTAACCTAACCCCCCAACCCTAAACTACACACTAACCACAACCCTTAACCCTGAGATCAAATCTTTATCCTCAAACAGGTGTTTGAAAAAGTGAGGACCTGCTAAAATCTCCTCACTTTCCCCAAAAGTCCTCACTGTGTAAGGTCTATGCCAAGGTCCTCACAAAGATAGAAGTACAAGTACACACACACATTCACACATTCATCAGAGGTCAGAACTGAACCAACAGATGTTTAATTTGATCTTATCTTTATCTTATTTGTCATTTGAAGCTAAACATCGAGTCTGACTGTGGTCAGTAGCCCAGCAGTCATTTCCCCTGAGCAGCGAGCGTCTCTGTTTAATCTCATGTAACTGGTGCTGTGCAAGAAACAACAACACAGAGCAGTTTTCCTCTGAGGGGCCGGATATTTCCTGGCATGACGTACAAGAGAGAGGGGACAGAGAGGCAGAGAGAGAGAGAGAGGGAGAGAGAGAGAGAGCACAAGGCAGCAGCAGTAATGGAAGTCAGGAGACTATCTGAGTGCATTTAAAGCATCAGCTGCTTTCTAGAGTCACATTGATCTTGTGTTTGTTTGCGGTTGTGTGCTGTGTATGTATCTGCACGTCCTAAAATACCCATTACTCTAAACGTTCCTCTTTGCAGAAGGTAAACCATGTCATTTAAAATTCAATTTGGTAAAAAACATCCTCTCACGCAACAAAGTTTGCTTTTTCACATTTAAAAAAATATTTAATCATGTACAAGTAAAAGAAGTAACATCATGCAACTGGACAAGATAAAAAACCTGAATTATGAGTGTGTGCAGATGCAAATAAAAATCTGAATCTAGTGAATTTAAATTTCCCATTGTGGGACATGTTGTTCCACTGAGTGCTATTCTAGTGTTCGAATAGATTTTGAATTGATCTTGTCATTTAGTAAACTTGATTTTCTCTTGAGTAGCGAATCAGGCAGTGCAGACTTGACAGTGGCCCTTACCTGTGGTAGAGGAAATAGAAGTGCTAGTGGTGGTGGTGGCTTGTGTGGTGGTGTGTATAGCTGAAAACAGGTAGAGGCACAGAGGGGAGGACAGTCCCTGTTAACACAGGCTTCACGACAACATGGACAACAACACTGGTTGAAAGTGACAGGCAACGTGTTTCAGAGTGTGGCCGAGCCAGACGTCTTCAGGCGAAGAGAAAATAAAACAAAGACGTAACAGTGGCTGTACGGGGGAGAGCAGAAGGAAAGAAGGTGGGGGAGACAAGAGAAACAAACAAACACATATATAAACACAAAGGGCAGCGACAGGAAGGGCAAGCAGCGGGGACTCACTGGCTTTGATGTTGAAGGCCACCGAGTCAGTGCCGTGCTCGTTGGAGGCGTTGCAGAAAACGGTGACGTCAGAGGTGACCTTGACACTGACCACACTCTGAATGCCCTCCTCCGTCTGCTTTAGGGATGTTGGATTGAGGACCTGGTCCAAAAACAGGTCAGTCAGCGGAGAGGGTTCCAGAGAATTCGTAGCATGAGGTGCAGCTCTGACACGTCCTGTCACTGTGGCTGCACCTCACCGCTCTGTTCTCCGGACCAGTCAGAGATTTATTTTGACACAGTAAAAATAATCCACTGAGTTTTGTCAAAATCAGGTCAGTTGGAGTTGTTGAAGAGATCTCTCACATCAGGACTAAGCCTGAGAGCCAGGCTGACGGCTCCGGAAGGCTGTACCTGGACATGGGATGAATGCTAATACTTCCATTCTCACAGTTGAGCTGAGGTTTAGCAGGTTTCATGTTCACCACTTTAGTTTAGCACGTTAAATGGACCATATTTATATAGAGGATTCAAAGGTCTTTACTTTATAAACCACATTCACACATAATTTAATACGGCAGTTCTATGCTGCACCGTTTATCACACACCATTCACCATCAGCACAGCACAAATCAGTGTCTTGCCTAAGGACATTTCTACACACAAAGGAGCTGGAGCTCGAACCACCAACCTTACATACTAACATTTGAATACTGAAAGAAAGAAGGAAAGTATTGGGCAGATAAAAAAATGTTTTATCTAGTACTGGAGGTTCAAAGTGTTTTTTAAGAATTTTTAAGACACTTTGAGGTTTTGTCCAATAATGTGAAGCTTCCCTCTGCTGTACCTTTCCATCAGAGGTTGCCCAGGTGACGTCGGGAGCAGGGAAACCTCTGACGCTGCAGCTGAGGTCGACCGACTTCTCAAAACTCTCTTCTATCTCTGTGTTGTCTGGCCTCATGATCTCTGGTGGGCCTGCAGAGAGAGCAGTGGGAAATAACCTTAAAATGTTTTCCCATGACAGATATAACTATTGCTGCAAACCCACAAACACAACTACACTATATGCATACACATGATACTATCCATTTCTTTAAATACTTATACAGTGATTGAAAACAAAGTGAAAATACACAGAAATGCAAAAAAAAAAAAAAAACTTAATTTAGTCTGTGATCAGACTCACCTTCGACATTAACATGAAGTGTGCCACTCGTCTCCATTCCCTCGATATCAGGAACAGTCACCATACACACATATGTCCCTGCTGTGTCGAACGTAGCTTCCGCCAGGGTCCAAGTGTGACCCCTTGATATCTCCTTTCCATCCTTCACACACACACACATACATGGGCACAAACAGGTACATTTAACACATGTGCATACAAGCACACAATATCCACTTGATTAGTTTAATTGGATTCATAAATGTACTTTCAAACAATCCCTTTACAAAAGTCTTTTTCAACCTAAAGTGTGATACTTCTGATGTGCAGCATCAGTTACAAAGAATGAGAAGACAATATTCAATGTTCAATATTCAATTTTGTCTGCATGGTAAACTTTCACATTATTGTTTGAAACAAGATTAAATTATTTTATATTATATATATATTGTTGCATTACATTTATGCAAGAGTGTATGCATCTCTTTAATGTTGGGATTGGTGGACGTGAGGTTAACAAAATTTTATATGAACCTAAACTAAAGCACCATAATTTACTGGATAGTTCTACTTTGTATTATTTATATTATGTAAAGTACTCAGTAATGTAATGATTGAAGTAAGTAACTCTTCACTTTATAAAGGTTGTGGGGTAAAAAGTGCAACATTTGCTTCTGTGCTGTCGTGGATCAGAAGTGTAAAGTAGCAGAAAATGAATGTACTTTAAAACTATTTGTATTACTGCAACAGTGCTTGACGTCTGACACAGTAGCAGTAAAAACTACTGGATAGATTTCCACAAAACTTGTTGGAAGGATGAGACTTGGCCCCAGAAAGAACTCATTAAATGTTGATGCAGATCCACACAAAGGGCTGGATCCAGGATTCCTTTATCCCTCTCTTTGACAGTGCGAGGTAGGGCGTTTTTTGACATATTCAGCAATTTCCCGCAAGAGTAACTCATCGTTACTGAAGAGTACTTTGGTAACTGATATCTATGAGTGTGAGATTTAGTGTAGCTTCATTGAATTCAAAGGGACTGTTGAGCCTTGCAAACAGTCATGATTGCACTGTCAGGAGTTGTTAGGATAGAAAGCTTGTCAGGGTCCAAAGCACAAACTGACGCACTACACTGCAAGACAAGGCGTGCGTGTGTGTGTGTGTGAGAGAGAAAGAGAGAGAGACACCTTAAACCAGGCAGTGTGTGTCTGGAGAGAGGAGAGGGCATTGCAGGTGGCCGTCAGATTCTTTCCATGGGCCACCACAACAGTGTCTTTGGGAAACACCACAGCAGGATCGAGAACTACACACACAGCAAAAAGAAAGGAGTGATGAAACAAATCATTCAAACTGGGCACGATGCAGACTGCTGATGAAGCATATTTGTTGTCATGGTGCAGGTTCCTCACAGTTGACCGTCACACTGGTATTTCCGGAGATCAAATCATAGGTTTCCATGTCCTCAGAGGTACACTCGTAAACTCCACTGTTCAGACGGGTCACGTTGTTCACCACCAACATATTGGCCTCGACAGGGCGATGGACCTACAAAAAGCCATTGTAATCTGATCAACACATAAACATACCATTTAACAAGAGGTCCAAGAGTGCGTCCACCCACTGAGGAAGATGATACAATACAATTGAAAGCTCCAGAGCAGCTACTAATGGATCCTGTGATGAAACACACAAAGTGGGACTAAGTTTCGGGAAAAATGTGTCGTAAAGTGTTTGTTCTTACGTCGCCATGGATGATTGTTAAGACTGATGGAGCATTCCCGTTGCCGTGGCAGTGAAGCTCGATCGAGTCCCCTTCTTTTATTTTGCCCTTTGGTGACTCCACCCACACACTAATGGCTGTGGAGGGGTCTGAAACAGAGAGAGAGGAATTCAGCATCAGGGCACAAACTTCATTTTGACGCTGGTAAATTGTGACGGATAAATGATCCAAGTGAATCTCAAGCTGCAGTGTCCTTCAGCAAACACATGTTGGAGAGTGAGAGTCAGTGGACAGAGGGATGGACCTGAAAGGGACATCCTGAACCGGAACATGGAGTCATAGTGAAACTTTGCTGACAGGTAAAAAAAGAAGAGATTTACTCCAAGAGGTGTATTTTGTTTTATTTGGGTTAACCCTAGCCCCCTGCCATAACCAGTCAGTAGCGAGTCATTCATCAGCCCCTCCAATATGTAATGGGCAACGTTTTTAATTCTCCATTAAAGGCGTCTAAATCATGTATTTTTTTTAGTTTTAGAAGTTTTCCAGACTCTCTGCATGTCTTGTAAAACAGAACTGAACCACTTGAATTGCATCCATACCTCAGATAAAATGCAAAAAATTGGAATTGGTTAATAACAAATTCTCTTTAAACACTTGTGCATGTCTCTTTATAATGAATCGGTTGATTAAATATGTTTTCACATTCTGCCTGATGTCCCAACTCTCAATCACACCTACAAAGTTCTGACTGTTTAGTTATTTCTTTATTTAGTTGCTTCATTAGATCCAGTTAAGGGAAACAATCAACAATCAATAATATTTCACTACTTTGTAAGCTTTTAAATAACTGTGTGAAACTCACAGTATACTGTGATGTTGATTTTGTCTGTTTCTCTCATCCTGGTTCCTCCAGGAACCAAGAAGTTGACCTCGCAGTAGAACTTAGCGTCCTTGTCCTCCTTGCTCACCCGCAGCCTCAGCTCACTCAACACTGAGACCAGACTATTGGACTCAGTGGTGATTGTGGACGTCACTTTCACCACTGGAGGACAAAACCCACATGAGATGAGGAGAAAGAGAGGGAGATACATGAAGCCAGATGAAGCACAGTCAAATGAGAGAAATGCATCAGAGATGCTGATGTTGATCTGTCTCACCGTCCAGATCATTGCGCAGGGGAGTGTTATCCCTGTACCAAGTGAGGTTCGGCTTGGGGTAGCCGTTCTTGACTTCGCAGAGCCCAATCTGTGGAAGAGGAGAGGTGACAGAGTGAGAGAAGAACACACTCAGAGAAGGAAACAGTCGTCACAATGTGAAGCTTGTTTACCTTGGACATGCTGCCAGAGTTGACTGAGAATGCTGTTGGTTCAGCCTTGATCGTAGGATAGTCTGGTGTTACTGCACAGGAATTAAAAATTGATTTAAAAAACAATGACAAAAAGGTTTGTGTGCTCAGTTTAGAAACACTTTCACACTGTTTAAACATCTTCATTAAAATCATGTAAAAATGTTTTAAAATGTCTTTTGCTGATGGGTGTCACTGCAATGATAAGTGAAATGACATAGTTGATGTCGGTTAACATGCAAGTAGTGGAAGGAGACTGATGGAGAGATGGAGAAGAAGATAGAAACTCTTGAAATACAACATCTAGAAGTTAGTTTAAGAAAGAAAAATCAGATGATGGAAAAGATGAAAGCAGTTGAAGTGTCAGTCGTAACTCATTGACTGTATCTAAAAATGGACAACATGACAGCTCTCCAGAAGTAATGCCAAAGCGTCTTGATATCCCCTGGTGGCTGGCTGCAGTATAAGTCATAAAACTGCCTCCTCCATGTTGGTGGATAGGACTTCTCATTTTAGATAATAGGACGGAGATGATGGTGAATATCTCTTCTATGTTTGAAGGTCTTCTGCACAATTGAAGTTACCAACTACCAGTAGATGTTAGCAGGTGTTAGTGGCCACCAGCATATTTTGGTTTCATAAAATATGAAGTGCTTTTGCTGAGCTGGTCACACTTATCATATATCTTTCAGAAATCATCTGTGTCCTACATCCTGAGCCATGAATCTGAATCTTACCAAACACCTTCAGCTTTGTACTTCCCTCCCCACTTCCGTCTGTTAGAGTATTGATGGAACAGATAAATTCCAGTTCGTCCTCCAGCTGCACATTGTTGATGGTCAGCACCACTTCTTTATTGGCCCCGGTGCCGTTCAAATTGATGCGGTCCGTGAACGCCGTGCCTTGATCTATGACCTCCATGGTGGAGTCCTGGTAGGAGATTTTCTGCCTCCCTCCCAGTCGTTTCGACTACAGGTCAGAGGATGAGCAAATCAAACTCCACATGTACAGAAACATCATAGTTGTACGTGTGCATCAGGCGTCATGAAACTCACGTGGAACCACATTATGGTCATGCCGCCGATGCCCTCGTCTGATGTGAACATGCAGGTGATCCGAGCTGTGTCTCCCCTGAACACCTCCACTCTGTCCTCCATGCTCACCTGCACTGTGGCCCATGCTGAAAGACAGACACAGAGGAGGGTGGTTGTTGAGTGCGTCTCTTCAACATGTTTTAATCGATCATCAGCATTTCTTCAAAACTAAGAAAATTGACAGATTTTTTTTTAACCAAAAACAAAGGTAGGTTTTCAATGTATCCCTCAAACGTTTTTTGAGATTATAATAATAGTCTTCAATTCTCTGAGTGGGCAATTCTCTGGCGTTGGAGCTGCCAACATCCTTTTATTATAAAAAGCAAATAGTGACTCAAAACAAACAACAAAACAAACGGAGGATAATGTGAAGTTATTCGTTTGTTATATGTAGTCATTTGAGGATAGTCATGATTCAAAGAAATTCATGATTGAATCACAAAATCAATGCTTGTAATGATATCAGAAGATCAACCTTACATCTGTGTTAAAATGAGGATAAGTATCTGGATTTTTAAAAAGATTGTGCAAGAAACTGTGTTTATGTTAAAGCACCACACAGACTTGGAGGAAATCGCCTCTTAAGTGGAGAAGGACTTGTTTGGTAGTGGTCAATTGTGAGGATATTGTTACAGCTGCAAGATATTCAAAGAGGTTCTGTAGTTTCTCAAGAAACAATGAAAAGGAGAAGAATTTTTTTTTTTTTCTCGAAATATTATGCATTTTGTTTCCACTAAATTATAACTTTATTCTCGCAAAATTCTTTCTCCGATCTGGCCATAATGCTAATACTATATTTGTTATGTACACTGGTCTGGGAAGAGAAAAAGTATAATTATTTTTTTTCTTTTAGTAGTAGTAACCATGTATAGACAGAGATGTTTTACAGTTAAAAAACACATTTTGTCATTGGTCAAACTAGTTCTTCTAATCTATCCAGTATTACATTCCCATACATGATATGTCGTCCTGATAGATCAAGACTTAATGCCGATAAAGCTTCATTTAACTCATCCTTAAATGGACAATAGGACAGAACCTGAGGATGACAACCTTTGTCAAATGATCGTCATCCAAAGAAACACACAACTTCTGCATATACACCGTGTTGACACAAACCCAAAGGAGGCATGGAAGCAAAGAAGAGAGAAGAGAGTCATAGTGGGTCAAAGGGAGAAGAGAGATGCTATGTAAGGAATGAGAGCCCACCCATGTCCACATTAATGTGCTGCATTCCAACATGTCACCCTCTCACAGGAAGAAAGGCTCAATTTACAGGCTGCATAGTAGCTCCACTGTTCCTTCTTTATGTGTCTCTGACTGGTTTTCCCCTTCAACGGTCTCTGGCCATGACGCATCCTATAGTCTATAGGACGGACTCCCAGTCACGCGTTACATTGCAGTGTTTCAGAAGATGCGTGAGATGCAAACCAGAGCTGTAGCCTGGAGGTATCGGTCAGGTTAGATTGAGCATTTTCTGTCTTTTCTGGTGAACGTAGCTTCTCTCGAGGAAGAGAAAGAAGCTATGTTGGGACATTTCTGAGTTTATATCAAGCGCTGCACAAGAACATTTGAGGTGTCTGTGTGTGAATTCCTTAATTTTAACATCCACTTCCATTAAAAAGATGAATTAGTCTAAATAAACCTGAACAGGAGTTATCACAAATCCATTTAGTCATGTATTCTACATCATGTGTATGTTAAAAGCTGATTATTTTCAAGAGATTGAAGGTTCATCCATGTCGTTGTATGATTTGGTCGAAATGCCTGGATAAAGCAAGATGAAAGGTGGCTAGTGGACGACAACTTAAAGTTCTTTAGGCAATATAAAGGACTTCCTTGTGTTTCTGTTCTATATTTCAGCACTTAAGTGGCATTATAATAACAGGTGCCAGAATATTACTTAAAACTAAACCTGGGAAATTTGTGCATTAAACTTTTGCCATTTCATCTGCCATTTTTAAAGTACTATTGAAATGTTCTTATTCTACTTCTAAAAACAAAACAATCTATTGAAATCAAATGTTTGATTAAAAAGACAGTTTTATATTATGTGTGATTATGATTGGTACTGTAGATTTACAGTTAGTCGCATACATTTTCTCAGTTTTTCTAACCTAAGTGTATTTAAGCATTGTTATGGCACTATATAAATAAAAGGTTTAATTTAATTGTTAGTAATTGTTTCATTGTGTCATTCAGAAAAACGACCAGATGTGTAGTAATGTGTTTAAATGAATTTAACACCAGAACAGCAGCCTCCTGATGAGCTCATCAACCAGACACACTATTTTATTGCATCTTCATCTGCTCAGATGATGATGAAGATGATACTGCTGTCTCTCAAACTCAACCTCTGCTGCATGTTGACCTGTAAGTCACCCTCTTCTTCACTGGTTTGATTCTGTCATCCCATCCAAACTCCCTCCCTGCCTCTCTCCCCCTGCCTCTCTCCCCTGCCTCTGCTGTGTGTTGCTGTTTAGCCCTGGCTAATGGAGCTGGACGGATGCTTTCCTGTTAAAGAAATCCAATTAGTTCCTCTAACATAGACGTTTTCTGGCCATTAGCGATGGAAGGACACCGCTGACTCACTAGCAGAATGCCACCCCTCCCCCTGCCACTGCCTGAAGGTTTACCTACTCTAAGGAGTGAGATTCAGATGGACACAAGCCGGACGAGAGTCAGATAATACTTTGCAGCTCAAACCGAATGTTTCACAAACTCTCTCCTCGAGCTGCTGGAGTCAATTTGCTCATGGGAACCTCAATCAAATCTCATTAGAAATGTGATCATCTCCATAGTGCATCAGTCAGAGACGCTGGCACTCCAAGGCCTCCGATCGATCCCCTCTGATGATGATAGTGCAAAGTCCATTCACGTTGGATAATAGTCCTCAATCAGCATGACAGAAGATATACTGAGCATGGCCTCCAAACGGCTGAGAAAACTGGGCTCTCCAGTTTTATGAGCTCCACTCAGCAAACAAAGTGAGAGTGTGTGTGTTTGACCATGAGACAACAATTTCACATACAAAGTGTTTGGTTTCCACGAGAGAGAGAGCGAGAAATCCACTCTTTAGTAAATATCTGCTTCTAAGAGAGGAGAGGAAAGGAGAACTAGTGAAAAAAATTCCCATCACAACTTCCTGAAGCCCAACCTGGTTTTTCAAATGCTTCTTTTGTCCAACCAACAGTTCAAAACCTTCAAAATCCTCTTCTGAGAGAGAAGAAAACCTTAACACGACTTAAGAAATAAAATAAATTAAAACTACTTACTTACTCTACTTTGGTCAACACAAAGATTCCCACATGACAGGAAGAGTAAATTGCTTATTTCAAGAACAGCCCTGCTTTATATTCCCTCAGAGAAAAAAATTTAAGTGATATCTTCTTTGATTTACGAGGCTAATTGAATTTTGTGACACACAAAAAAAACACATGCACATCTCACTTGGTGCTGATCATCAAAGTTCAAAGAGGCTGCAGGTGATCTCGGTTCAGCTGTTCCCCCGAGAACAAAGCTCATCCCACAAATAGGGTGGATTGTATTCAGAGGCAGGACTAAATTAGGTGCACTTACAGATAAGAGGATAAAAGAATCCCCAAAACCCAAGGAGAGCAGAGGCAGATAGGATAAGATCATCTCAGGGGGGAAGTCGTATCAAAGACAGTGTGTATCCTGACAATAGGCTCTGATTTCATTGTAGACAAAACAATCAGTTTGAGTCTGTGGAGAGAGATGATAACAAAGCTTCCTGCCAGAATCTGAGCTTCTGCAGCTGTTGATCCACACCAATATATTAAATCTCTTCTCTCACACACACGGTGTAAAACTATTGTCAGGTGATCGGCAGACGTTCTGAAAGCAGGATAACTTATTTTTAGACGTTTATGAGCATATATTTTCAACAGATGGCTCAGTCCGCCCTCTGACAGGTACAGTAGATGGATGAGATGAGCCATATGTTTGTTCAAAGGCTGGAATCTGCTTTGACTTTTAAACTGTGAAAGATTAATTGAAGAGCTGCAGTCGACCTCCCTCTCCCTCCCCCGCCCTGCCTATACCACAGATGGTGATAGGTGGGCGAGGACGTCTATACCTCCAGCACATTAACTGGCATTCAAACCAGATAAGCGTCATGTGAACTGTTTGACATCTCATTGGATGACAGAATGGTGGCTCAAGTGCACAGCATGGTCCCATCATTGAAAAGCTATAAATATCCTTTCTTCCTTCCTTCCTTCCTTCCTTCCTTCCTTCCTTCCTCCTACTTGCTTTGGTCCTGACTTACTTACTGATAAAATATTCCTTTTTCATGAACCACTAACCCTTCAGGTTTATTATAATAGATGTGCTACATTAGATCATTAGTTCTGTTAAAAAAACACTTGCAGTTGCAGATTAGTATAGAAACTTCATTTCTAGGAAACGGGGTTGCAACAAGAACAAAAGCAAGCAGCCCCAAGGGAGTTTAATGTTCAATACACCACACAATGCTAATAGGATACTGACTGGGTTGTGCTACAGGAAAGGTAATTACAGCAGGAAGTATCCACTCTCAGAAAATTCCATAGCAGTATGGCTTTTAGACAAAGAAACAGCCTGTCTGCACACTTGACATTCTGACCTTAGGATTGGGCGATAAAGGAAAAGCTTATGGAATGTATGACATGACAGGGTTTCACCTTCAGTCGAAAAGGAAATACCGAAAATATATCATGAAAATCTTTTGATTGGATAACATTTTTATCGGAGATGTTCCAATACCCTTAAAAACTCGAAACTGAAGGCTCGCATAGATATCACTTCTTTTTCACTGCTCTAAAAATAGTACTTGCCAGTGGCAGTACAGCCAAACTGCTGTTTTGGAGCGACAAAGGAGCAGTGATTTCTGGGAAGATATAATCATAATTTTATCTGGGTGGAACTAATATACATTTAAGACCAAGTATCAGATCGGTATATATATATTTACATACTCGCTGATGCATGTCCAAGCATTTTTAGCAGCCTCAGAGCCATTTGCGATGCTGATATCGGTATCAGAACATCTCTAATGTTCATGTGACCTGATGGTGGCGCTAGA